GTATTTTTGGTTCACTATTACTATTTTCAAATAAAATGTTAGTCAAAAGTTTTCAAATGGATATTCTCTAAGTTTGGATTTCGAAGAACAGTATGGAAGTAGATGCTGGAATCATGACAACAACCATGATGGTGGAGAATTTCACATTACGTTAAAATCTAAGTTATCCCTTGAATTGGAACAGTAAGGGGGAAATTACAGCACAGTCTTTCCTTCTAACATTTTTATTTTGGACCCAACCAAATAACAAAACCTAGGTAATAACATGAGTAAATAGGGTTGTTTTTCCTGCTAAGGGAGTTTAAACATACATTCCAAAATAAAATAAATTGTTCATTTACTTGAGAAATGCAAGCAAATTACTGGTGAAACTGACAATTTGCATTCCCATAAATTTTGCTTTTCAAAGTGCTTTCACAACTATCACTACTACCTGATAATCCCCAAAATTGCGATTTGGGGCTTTCTTCTTTCTCAGTATTCTTTCATGTTTGTTTTCTTGTTTTTTTTTTTTTTTTTCTAATTTAAGTAATATCGACATCCCACACGGTGCTCAAACTCTCAACCCCAATATTATTTTATGTTCTAATTGGAAATTAGTCACAGAAATACTAAATCAATTTATCCAGGATCAAAAATTTAACAGCAAAGCTAGAAATCTTGATTAAAAAAAAAAAAATTTATCTATTTATTTTAAAGAGGGAGAGAGTGTGTGTGCATGGGGGCGAGGGGGTGGGTAGAGGGAGAAGAGAAGCCCAAGCAGACTCCACACTGAGCACGGTGCCCGATGCCAGGCTCGATCCCAGGACCCTGAGATCACAACCTGAGCTGAAACCAAGAGTCAGATGCCAAATCAACAGTGCCACCTAGGTGCTCCTAGAACCCTTGATTCTTAATCCAACACTTTTTAGCCTCAATCAAGAAGTTACTACAATTAGAGTCCACAATAATTTACAAAAACATACTATAATATAATCAAAGCTTTAATGACCCCAGCAAATCCTTATGCAAATGGTAATACCTAACATGCTCACATCATTTAAGGTTCTACAAAACAATATTACTAACAAATTAAGAAAGATCTAGTACCCCAGGAAAGATAGATTGTAAGGATGATTCTCATTTCACAAAACAAATGTGCTCCTGGAAAGTTACATGTGAATGCAATTTTAATCAATTCTTATGTTGAAGGAACTATGTAATTTATGAGAGTTGTTTTCAACTCCCCTTCCATTTTTATTGAGCAGCACAACCACTTCCAAGAAGATATTTCATAAGATGTTATAAAATGAACTGTGTCCCTTCAAAATTCGTATGTTGAAGCCCTAACCCCCAATGTGTCTGTATTTGGAGATAAGGCCTTTAAGGAGATAATTAACGTTAAACGAGGTTATAAGAGTGGGGCTCTATAAGACTGGTGTCTTTGAGACCAGAGACCCCAAGCCCCTTCCCTGCAGTGAACACACAGAGGAAATGCCAGGTGAGGGCACAGTGATGACAAGTACTAGCATAAAAGTAGAAAGAGAGCACTCACCAAATTTGCCAACACCTTGATTTGGAATTCTAGCCTGAAGAACTGTGAGAAAATATATTTCTGTGGTTTAAGCCACATAGGCTGTGGTATTTTGTTATGGTAGTCCCAGCAGACTAATAATACGTGGGGGTTTCAGAAGCATTTCTGGGGAAACCTTAGGGCTTCATGAAAAACAATTTGCAAACTGCTGTGCTAAAGAAATTTCTTATACTGCAAAAATAACCACAATCTAATTAATGTTTTATGTGCATTTAACACATAATTCTCAAAGCAAACTAAGATTAAAAGCATCTGTATATTTGTTCCATAATCACAAAGCAGGACTTATTTATATACTGAAACTAAATTTTAAATGTCAAATCATGGGGTGCTTGGGTGGCTCAGTCAGTTTAGCAGCCAAGTCTTGGATTCGGCTCAGGTCATGACCTCGGGGTCATGGGATGGAGCCCGCATTGGGCTCTATGCGGGGTCTGCTGAAGATTCTCTCTTCCTCTCCCTCCGCCCTGTTCCTCCCCCCAGCTCGTTTGTACACGTGTGCGTGCTCTCTCTCTAGAATAAATAAAATCTTTAAATGTCAAATCATAGCAACTATGTTAAAAATCCAAGTCAACAAATCAATGGTTATAACAAATTAGTGTAACTGATGATCAGTAAGACACTGATGTTTGTCATACGGTCTATAAAAGCTAATCGCATAGGGTTACGAAGTAAAACTAATTGGCTTTTAGTTTTAGGCAACATGTACCAAAGTGTTTTACAAATCAAAAGACTATATATGTTCACTATTATAATTGAAATCTGGCAGATTTGCCAGAAAATAATGATAAAATGGGGACAGATTTTAAATTTCATGAAAAGTTCTACCCAAACTAAGTTAGCAAATATATGAAAGGAACTAATGAACCACAAAAGCATTAATTCTGAGTGGTACGAATATGGACATTATAATGTTCCTGTTTTTTATCTATGCACTTTACATTTTTTTAAATATTAAAAATAAAAAGAGGTTGTGGGAAACTTTTTTCCTACCCCCATTTCCTTAGAAATACCACAAGGTCCTCCAAATTGAGGAAATCCCAGAGCCATGTCTGATTCTCAAGTAACTATAATTCAGTCCAAGGAGGCATATGAAACATAATTTTAAGCAGTATAGTATCAGCCAACCTTAACCTTTCTAACCTAGACCTTTGAGCCACCTAAATTAGATCAATGGGATTCTTCAGAATAAATATTTTTAAATTCTGCTGGCATCAAAGAAAACTTAAAGTATATATGAAATTACTCTTAGAAGAATCTAAAATAAAAGGCACTGAAAATTGATATCTGATAAAATTGCATTTTTGAACATGTTTGGCACCTACCATTAGTATTAGATGGCAAAACACTGAAAAACATGCATACCTCTTGAATCTCACAGAACTTGAATCTTAGTGCAGGGGTGAATGGAATGGAAGCAAGGGGGATACATGCAAGAAGATAAATGGACAATTACAAAACAAACAGTGTATACTATTTCACGTACTCTAGCCAGGTACTATATGGCCCACAAAGAAATGACTTATGGAGGATAACCACAAAATACTAAGGAAACACTAAGACTCATACATACACAAGGCTTTCTGCAAGGTAAATGTTCACTCATTCATCCATTTACTGACTTAACAAATACTTACTGAGCAACAGTTAAGTGCGAGGTACTAGTTTAGATATTAAAAATGTAATAGAAAATGATAAAATTATTCTTGCCATCACAGAGGTTTAATTCTACTGGAGACAGACTTAAAAACGTAAAACTGAGGATTTTAGAGAGTAATTACTAGGAAGGAAATAAGGCAAGGTGATATATTAAGAGAGTGGTAGAACACTCAAGGGCAAAGCCTACTTTAGTCATACAAAGGACCAAAGAGCCAGAAACAGCATGACCATTCTGGAAACCAAAAATAGTTCTGCAAGGCAGAATATAGTACATACTGATGAGACCAATATAGAGAATAGCAAGAAAAGAACCCAGAGGAGAAAGTGGGGCCATCACATCAAGAACTCTATTGCTATGTTAAGAAACGATTTTCTGTTCAGAAGACAACAAGGACTCCTACATTAAGGAATTAAAGCAAAGGAGAAAGATCACTCTGATTTTCACTTTATCACTGTAATTGTGATAAGTGGACTAGACACAGGGAAACCAGCCTGGAGTTTCCTATAATAATCCAAGTAAGAGAAAATGGCATCAACTAGGGCAGAGACCGCTAGGGTTGCATAGACTGAACTGAAAGAGATCAAGAAGGCTAAATCAGGATGCGGTAACCAGCTGATGGACACTGCAGAGGACATGTGTTGTAATGAGCACTGGGTATTATATAAGACTGATCAATCACAGACCTGTATCCCTGAAACAAATACATTAATTAACTGAAATTTAAATTAAAAAAAAATCTTAGGGCACCTGGGTGGCTCAGTTGGTTAAGCAACTGCCTTCGGCTCAGGTCATGATCCTGGAGTCCTGGGATCGAGTCCCCCATCAGGCTCCCTGCTCAGCGGGGAGTCTGCTTCTCCCTCTGACCCTCTTCCCTTTTCATGCCCTCTCTCTTTCAAATAAACAAATAAAATTAAAAAAAAAAATCTTAGGGGCGCCTGGGTGGCTCAGATGGTTAAGCGCCTGCCTTTGGCTCAGGTCATGATCTCAGGTTCCTGGGATCGAGCCCCGCGTCAGGCTCCCTGCTCAGCAGGAAGCCTGCTTCTCCCTCTCCCTCTACTGCTCCCCCTGCTTGTGCTCTCTCACTCTCTCTGTCAAATAAATAAATAAAATCTTTAAAAAAAATTTTTTTTTCTTAAAAGAAGGCTAAATCAATCAGGACTTGGTAATATACTAAATGTGAAGGACAAAAAAAAAAAACAAAACACACACCCAGAATGACCATCAGGTTTGTTTAAATGACTGAAAAGACAATGGTACCATCTACCAAGCCAAGGAACAATAAAACCCTAGGTTACAAAAAACTACAGTTGACCCCCGAACAACGCAGGCATTAGACATTCCAATCCTGTGCACATTTAAAAATCTGCATATAACTTTTGACTCCCCCAAATCTTAAATACTAATAGCCCACTACTGACCAGAAGCTTTACCTAAAACATGAAAAGTCAATTAACACATATTTATATTACATACTGTATTCTTAAATAGAGGTAAGAAAATGTTACAAAAATCATAAGGAAGTGAAGATACACTTACAGTACTATATTGTATTTATTTTAAAAATTCTGCATGTAAGTGAACAGGTGTACAAGCCCATATTTTAAGGGTCAACTATACTACAAATTTAACACCAAATCTACCCAAGTTCTGGTTCTCTATTACTAACTTGAATACATTGCTAAGAATAAGTATTTCTCTTTGGGTCTTAAAATCTTCATCTGTTGCCTCTGACTTCCTGACTAGGGCTCCTGCTGGCCACTGTCTGAAGTCATGCCTGTGCTGACGCCCCTGCTGCTGAGAGGCCTGACAGGCCTAACCCGGCAGCTCCTGGTGCTGTGGGCCCAGATGGATTCCAAACCGCCACAGGAGCAGCTGGGGGTCACGGATGTCACCACTGGGCTCACCTCCTGCTTCCTGTGTTTCTTCTTGTCATCAGGCTGGGTCCTGTCACATCTGGAGACCTACAAGAAGCAGGAGTGAAAGGGGCTGTGCTGTCCCTCACCCTGTGATCTGACCACCCCTGGCCTGTCCTGATCATGTCTGCCTTCCTGGATCACGTCTTTCAATTACAGTGACCTCTTCTGCAATCATGACCTCTCCATTTCTCCTCTGTGACATCCTGGGACCAAATATATTGGCCCTGCTCAGTAAGGGCCCCCTTATAACAATATAATCTAGTTAAACCTTGAAAAAAATATACCTTCATCTGTTAAATCAAGAGCTCTGAAAGTAAGAAGTCAGGATTTAGTCTGGAAAATGAGGAGTCAAGGATGATACTTAGATTTCTGGTTTGGGTAAGCAGATGGGGGTGTTGGTGCTATTTAACCAAAGGTATCAGTCAGGGTAGTCTAGGTTATCCTGCAGTAAAAATAACCATAAATCTCAACCATTCACAATAGTGGTTGGCAAACTATGGCCCACAGACTGAACGCTTGTTTTTGTAAATGAAGTTTTATTACAATACAGCCATATCCATTCATTTAGGAATTGTCTGTAGCTTTGATGGAGACTATAAAGAACAAAAGTCTAAAATATCTAGTATCTGACCCTTTAAGAAATACTGTGCTGATCCCTCAGTTATAGCAACAAGTTTATTTCTGGCCTACACTATATGTTGATGACAGGTTAGCAGTGGCTTTGTAACCTATCATTTTCACCCCAAAATGGGCAGCAATGACTTAAAAAAAAATTCTGCATACAAATCATCATAGCAAAGGGAATAGAGACCATGGAGAATATCTACTGCTCTTAAGGCTTCTGCTGGGGGGTTGGGGTGAAGAAGCTTCTGTTCAAAAGTGTAACTATTACTTTTCCTTGCATTTCATGGGAATAAAAACAAGTCACATGTCCATGCCTGAATTCACTAGCAAGGGGATATATACTCTTCCCAAAGGGAGGGAAACCAAATCTTGTTTAGTTGCCCCAAACAAATCTGCTCCCTCTGACCCAGTTTCCAGAGTTTATGACACTAAGGAAGGGTAGATATTCTCTAACCTACTTTACAAATAGGTAAGATTATGTGACTGTGCTCTTCCTAAAAGAACAACAGAAGTGAAGTATGCAAATTATGCCTCACTTCTTAAAAGAAAACTGTTTGGGGACGCCTGGGTGGCTCACTCGTTAAGCGTCTGCCTTCGGCTCAGGTCATGATCCCGGGGTCCTGGGATCGAGCCCACATCGGGCTCCCTGCTCAGAGGGGAGTCTGCTTCTCCCTCTCCCACTTCCCCTGCTTGTATTCCCTCTCTCGCTGTGTCTCTGTCAAATAAATAAATAAAATCGTAAAAAAAAAAAAAAATTGTTTGCCCAATACTTTCTTTCCCCTTCCTGCAGCTTGAAGCACATTCTACAAAAAAGAAAAGTAAAATACCCTATGGTGGAACAATAAAATGGGAAGAATCTGGATCTCTGAATAACCTCATTAAACACAGTTGTTTCAGGGGTAGTAAAGTCAGATTGTTTAATAGAGACAAATAAATTTATTGCCTATTTAACCAATTATATTTTGGAGTCTCTTTCTTACAGCAGTTTAGTCTCTACCTAATGTTGATTCATTAGCATTTTTTTCAAAGCAGATGTTCAATATGTAGTTGAGTATACTCAACCTTTGAACTAAGATTCAGGATGAAAATATAAGTCATTAACACATGGGGTTTTAAAGTCATGAGAATAGACAAGAATACCCAATGAGAATATATAAAATGATACTAGAGGAAGGTCTAGAACAGACCTCTATAGTATAAAAACTTTCAAGAGCTTAGACAGAAAGATCTGGGAAAGGAGACTAATCGGGGTAAAAAGGAAAATCAGGAAACTACTGTAGGAAAGCAGCTAAAAGATAAGAGTGTCATGAGGAAAGATCAGAGAAATTAAAAAGATGTGGAATAAAAAGTATCACCTTTTATGGATTTACTTCCCATCACTGCCCTCCACCCCCAGCTTTGGTTATGAGCCAAATCCAGTAACTTTATGCTAACAAGGAGAATATGGCAAAAGTGATAGTACGTTGTGGCTAAGATCTGGTTACAAAAAGATCATGACTTTTGTCTTTGGGCCCTCTCTCTCACCCACTGGCTCTGGTGCAATGTGGTAAGCAGCCCCATGGAGAAGCAATGCCCTATGTAACTGCCAATGCTCTGAGGTGGCCTGTAGACAAACCATGACAAGAAAATGAATACTGTCAATAACCATGTTATTGAAATCAGAAGGGATCCTCCTCCAGTTCTGCCTTCACATGAGACTGCATGCCAGGCTAACAGCTTGACTGCAGCCTAATGAGAAACTCTGAGCCAGAGGTATCCCGGTAGGTCCCATTCAAATTCCTAACACACAAAAACTGCAAGAGAATAAATGTTTGATGTTCATGTTTTGTTTGCTTGTTTTTTAATTTTATTTATTTATTTATTTATCAGAGAGAGAGAGGGAGAGCGCGCGCGCACAAATGCACCCAAGCAGGAGGAGCAGAAGGCTTCCGACGGAGCAAGCCCAATGCGGGACTCGATCCCAGGACCCTGGGATCATGACCTGAGCCGAAGGCAGATGCTTCACCGACTGAGCCACCCAGGCGTCCCACATTTTTGTTTTTTAAAGATTTTTTATTTATTGATTTGACAGAGACAGAGAGACAGAGCACAAGCAGGGGGAGCGGCAGGCAAGGGAGAAGCAGGCTCCCCACTGAGCAAGGAGCCCCATGTGGGGCTCAATCCCAGGACCCTGCAATCATGACCCGACTGACTTATTTCACTTAGCATTATAAGTTATAGCTCCATCCATGTTGTTGCAAATGGCAAGATTTCATTCTTTTTTATGGCTAAATAATATTCCATTGTGTGCATGCGCGTGTGCACACACACACACCACCTTTTTATCCATTTATCTATCAATGGACACTTGGGCTGCTTCTGTATCTTGACTTGTAAATAAAGCTGCTATAAACACAGGGGTGCATGTATCCCTTTTAATTAGTGTTTTTGGATTCTTTGGGTAAATACCCAGGAGAACGGTTGCTGGATCATACAGTTTTATTTTTAACTTTGTAAGGAACCTACATACTATTTTCGACAGTGGCTGTACAGTTTGCTTCCCACCAACAGTGCAAGAGGGTTTTTTTTTCTTCACATCCTCACCAATGCCTGTTGTTTCTTGTGTTGTTGATTTTAGCCATTCTGACAGGTGTGAGGTGTTATTTCATTGAAATTCTGGTTTGCATTTCCCTGAAAATAAGTGATGATTAACATCCTTTCAGAAAGTGTCTGTTGGTCATCTGTATTTCTTCTTTGGAGAAATGTCTGTTCATGTCTATTGCCCATTTTTAATTGGGTTATTTTTGCATGTTCAGTTTTTATAAGTTCCTTATATATTTTGGATACTAACCCTTTATCAGATATGTCATTTGCCCATTCCACAGGTTGTCTTTCAGTTTTATCCACTGTGTCCGTCGCTGTTTGAAAGCTTTTATTTTATTAAGTCCCAACAGTTTATTTTTGCTTGTTTCCCTTGCCTCAGGAGACGTATCTAGAAAAAAAGTTGCTATGGCCCATGTCAAAGAGGTTACTATGATTTCAGGTCTCACAGTTATTTAATCCATTTTTAATTTAGTGTCTGGTGTAAGAGAATGATCCAATTTCTGTCCAGTTTTCCCAACACCATTTGTTGAAGGGACTGTCTTTTTCCCACTGGACATTCTTTCCTACTTTGTCAAAGATTAATTGATCATACAGTTATGGGTTCATTTTTGGGTTTTCTATTCTGTTTCATTGATCTATGTGTCTATTTCAGTGCTAGTACCATACTGTTTTGATTACTACAGCTTTGTAATATAACTTGAAATCAGGAATTGAGATGCCTCCAGCTTTGCTTTTCTTTTTCAAGATTGCTTTGGTTAGTCAGGATCTTTTGTGGTTTCATACACATTTCAGACCTGTTTATTCTAGTTCTGTGAAAAATGCTGTTGGCATTTTGGAATGGATTACATTCAAGGTGTAGATTGCTTTGGGTAGTTTATAGACATTTTAACAATATCTGTCCTTCTAATCCATGAGCATGGGATGTCTTTCCATTTCTTTCTGTCATCTTCAATTTCTTTCATCAGTGCTTTATAGTTTTCAGAGTAAAGGTCTTTTACCTCTTTGGTTAGGTTTACTATTCTTAGGTGTATTATTGTTTTTGGTGCAATTGTAAATGGGACTGTTTTTTAATTTCTCTTTCTACTGCTTCATTATTGGTGTACAGAATCACAGATTTTTCTGTACATTGATTTTGTATCCTGAAAATGTATGGAATTCGTTTATCAGTTCTAGCAGTTTCTTGGTGTAGGTTTTCAGGTTTTCTAGGTATAGTATCATGTCATCTGCAAATAATGAAACTTTGACTTCTTCCTTAACCAATCTGGATGCCTTTTATTTCTTTTTGTTGTCTGAATGGTGTGGCTAGGACTTCCAGTACTATGTTGAATAAAAGTGAGAGGGGAAATCCTTGCCTTGTTCCTGACCTTAGGGGAAAAGTTCTCAGTTCTTCCCCACTGAGGATGATGTTAGCTGTGAGTTTTTCATATATGGCCTTTATTATGCTGAGGTATGTTCCTTCTAAAATTCTGTTGAGGGTTTTTATAATGAATAGATACTGTATTTCTCAAATGCTTTTTCTGTGTCTATTGAAATGATAATATGGCTTTTATCCTTTCTCTTATTGATGTAATGTATCATGTTGATTGATTTGCAAATACTGAACCACCCTTGCAACCCAGGAATAAATCCCACTAGATCACGGTGAATGGTTTTTTTAATGTATTGTTGAATTCGGTTTGCTAATATTTTATTGAGGATTTTTGCATCTATGTTCATCAGGGATATTGGCCAGTAGTTCTCTTTTGTAGTGGTGTCTTTATCTGGTTTTGGTATCAGGAAAATGCTGGCCTCATAGAATGAATTTGGAAGTTTTCCTTTTCTATTTTTTGGAATAGTTTGAGAAGAATAGGTATTAAC